CTGTCCCGAGTGTCTCGCTCACTCTGGGTTCGTCCTTTTTGCGGGGCAGGGGGGTTGGGGATGCAGATCCTTTCCTTTTTACCAACGCTATATACCCAATCCTGCTGCCTGCCTACACACGCCCATTGCTAAAAAAGAAGAAAATGTTACAAATGCCGGGCAAAAACTACGCAATGGCGGCTCGGTAAAAAACCAGCGACAGCAGCGTTAAAAAACAACAAAAAAAATGCTGGAAAAGGCAACAACAACAACAACAACAGCAGCGGGCAATGCCCACACATGGCTCCGCCCACCAAAAGAGGCGGGCTGTGGTGCTGCCAGCGTCGCAGCAGCAGCAGCAGCAGCAGCAGCAGCAAGAAATCAACACAACACAAAAAACATGCTTATAGTTGATTTTTGACAATTTTTTTTTGGTTTTCGGCACGCTGACTTTTCGGGCTTTATTTTCGCACCGATATATATATATATATATGTATATATGTAAATGTATGCGTGCTCCTGCATTGTGTTTGGGTGTGTGTTTTGTTTTATGTTTTGTTAAAAGAATGCCGCCTGTTTATTTCATTTTTCTCCATTTCCTGTTTGTTTTACTTGCATTCGGTTTGAGGCAACGAGCCTGCCACTTTATTGATAAACATTGATGACTGGCTTGTCAAAAAGAGTGGGGGGTTAAAGGTGGGTTATGGTGGGCTAAGGGTTAAGGGGTTAAGCATACCTTGAAAATGGGAGAAAAAGTCGGGTGTTTGTTACTTCTCCTAAAAAAAGAATGTAAGTGTGGGAGAGAGTAATGAAAAATATACTATAAACTTCATTTCTTTATCAGCAATTATTGTATACTTTTGGTTGAGTTATAATTAATTTTAAGCTTTATAACAACATACAAATGTTTAAAAGAAATTGTAAGAATTAGTAAAGGATTTAGTGTTTACACTTAATATAAATATTCTTGCTTTCAAAACTTCAAGAAGTAATATTAAATTAACATGTTCTTGGAAAATTTGAAAATTAACTTAAAACTATTTTTTAATTACGAGAAAATAAATTAAAACCTTTAAGTTCTTAGAAAAAAATATTGTTTATTTAACATATTTTGCTTTAAAATTCCAATTACTTGTTAACAATATCATATAAACTATTACAGCTCTGCCTAATTGAATCAATAAAGATAAATATGGCTTTAAATTCTGAGAACATATACAAATTTTTTTCATAAAAAAGTTAAACTACATATAAATGAGAATAAATGTTAATTTTCAATATTATTTATACCATTTTTTAAAGGCAAAACTTTTGATTTCACACCAAAATGTGTCACGTTACCTTCTAGGCTCACAAATGCCGCGTATTTGTATCAATTTATTCGCTAATTCCTTTCACTTTAATGTGGCCGTCATACAGGGCGTATGCGTAATGCGTTGACCCCAACACCCAGGAACACACACACCACACACACACTCACACATAGGCTGCAGCAGGCAAATGAAAATTGCATTCCAATTGAGCGGCTTTTAACAAAACACTCGAAACGAGCTGTGTTTTGTGTATTTTCCAGTGGCGGCAAAAAGGATGGGAATCGCGATGGTGATGACCATAGCGATGGCGAGGTCCTGTGGCAGGCCACATGAATCATCATAACGACAAGTGGCCCATGCCATATGGGTAGAATGGGAAAGGAGGGATCACCCGATTTTATAGTTAGGCCGTAAAAGGCGCCAAAAGTATGCCACACTCACACTCACAATCAAACACAGACACCAAAACACACATATACGCACCATGAAAATCTGTTATTTGTTGTGTGTTAACAAGAGAGGAAGAGAGGAGCCCCAAAAAACGGGAGGGAGGGGGCCACATTCTGGCAATGGTCCAGGGAGGCGTGGCATTCACGCAACATTTTATGCATTTCGGTAGAGCAACAGTTGGCCGGCAAAAGGTTTTAAAGCCAAACGGGTTTTTGTGTGTGTTTAACAAAAAAAAAAAGGAAAAAGAAAAAGTGGGGGAAGTGCCAGGCGAACGACCTTGACACATTTTGACTTTCATCCTGTTGAAAAAAAAAAGAAACGAAAACAGAATACTGACGGGGGTTTCCATTGGCAAAGCCAGACGCAAAACGTCTCTAGTCGGAGCCAAAAATATATTGCATACTTCGCAGATGAAGTTTCTACACAGACACAAGGAATCCTGGGTAATGTGTGCCCAGACAGGGAGAGGATAAGTCAGAGAGAGAGAGAGGGAGAGTGGGGAAATATGGCAGAAAAAGGACATGGAGAAGGTGGTGGCCGGAAGGCGGCATGAAGCAAGAAGCAAGAGCCAAGTGGCAGGACCAAAAACCAGTTGCCAGGAAAAACCCTGGCTACTCGCTCGAAAAAGTATGCTACGTTTTTTCCCCTGCCCAAGAGCTCGTCTCTCTCTGAGTGTGTATGTGTGTGTGAGTGTCTCTGTGTGTGTTTGTGGGGGCGGCAGTCCTTGAAAAGGCATTTCTCACACAGCGGGACAATGTCTAAGCCAGTCAAAGTTGAACGAACGTCTATATCTTCTACTTTCCTCTTTTACCTTTACCCAGCGTATCGGTTTTTTTTTTTTTTGTTCCATCCCCTTTATCCTTTTTCATTTTTGTCTGACGAGTTTTGTTTCCGTTTTTATTCCAATTTCTCCCAGTCTCAGCTTAAAGCCCAGCGTTAAGTGACCTTGACTGAGGACGATCCATAGCAAGAGTTCTGCATATTTCAGCGAGTCGTGTTTAGCAACGGCAACTGCAACAGGCTCTTCCAAAAATTTCCGTAGCCAAAGTGCTACGGCATTGCAGTTTTTCCGTTCCGAAGCGGGTGGCAGGATGATGCAGGACATGCACTCAGACATGGACCCTATTGTCGCATGTCCTGCGTGCATCTCTGTCTGCCGCCCCCAAAACAGGGAACATCCTCTAGCCCGCCCTCATGTCCTTCGGTCGTGTCTGCCTGTCTGGACTCTCTCGACTTGGGTTCACTTTCATTCATTGAAGCCTTTGGCTTGCTATTTTGTCACTGAGCTCATAACTGACAGCACCTCCTGTCTGCTGTCTGCTGTCTCTTGGCTGCTGCCTCCTGATTTCAACTCCCAAACACCCGCCTTTCCTTTCTGTGTTTTTTCCCATTTGGCATTGAGTTGGTTCAAACGCCTTGGGGTGACCTTCACAAGAAGGGGGATGCTCTTCTCGCCTTGGCACTTTTCTATTTTAAATTCAGTTAGGTTCTGTAGAAGGATATATATCAAATGTTTTAAGAAAATTATGTTTATAAAGGCTTTTCAGGTGTAATATTAAACAAGAAACCATGACGGATAAATTTTTCTATAGCTCAACATTAATTTAAGGAATTATTAAATGTGTTTCTTTTATATTGCTTTTTATTCCTTCTTTAATAATATTTATTTCTCATAGAGATTTAACTTTTAATGACCAAATTTCATGTTAATATTTCAACAATAAAACTATAACAATTATTATTCCTAAGACATAACTTAACCTCTTTAGAAACAAAGCTAGATCCGATTTGGCGCCTATGTGGAGCTCTGTCATCCAATCAGCAGGACTCCAACTTACCAGGCCAATGGCAGACGCAGTTGCCAAGGACCTCCAATTGGCGCATCAAAAAAGGCGCCCGCGTTTTTCGGATAATGAGCAAAAAGTTGATGAAAAACCTCGCGGAGTTTTGCTAAACACCGAGAACGATGCCAAAACGGGGGATGAAAATGCCGAAGTAAAAAGGATACAAACGAAGCTTAAAAGTTACACTTAATAGACATAAGTTAAATTAATATAAAATGTTAACTAAAATAAATATTTTCAAATAAATAAGAACAAAGAAAAATCATTTAAGTTATCAAATAACCACTACAAATAATAGTTTCTTATATAAACCAAAATACTTAATCAATTTACTTATTTAATTTATGTATTTATCTCTCAACTAACTCCATTACCACAGCCAATGTTGTGCCGTGCCACTCCTCTGGAATTTAATGAAAATTTATCACATGTGGATCAAAAACTGCAACATGGCCAGATGGTGACAGATTAACCAAATGAGACCCTCCCCCCACCCCGTGAAAACCCCTTTGAGAGAGACCCACAAAACTAACCGGGCAACTCTACTGACAAACGGGGCAACAACAAATCGGAAAACCTTTTGAACTACAAGCAAATCCATTTCACACAATTTATGTACAAGTTTATTTCGCGCTTCCAATTTTCCATCGATGTCGATGTCGATTTGCTTTTTGGGTGGCTTAAAGCATTTCGATTTGGACTTGCACTTGGACTCCAAGTTGCTCCGGCTGCTGCTGCTGCGGCTTTCCACAGAAATGTTAACAAGCTCTTAGCAGACTCACTCGCACACACACATGGGCATCGAGTGTGTGCGGGGCTGAGGACCTGGCCAATGTCTAGATTGGCCTGCCCGGGCTTTGAGATCGTTTTGGGTTCGCTGCTTAACCCTATAAACTTTGAGAAGTTACTCAATTAGGAGGAATACCCTGTTGTATTTCGAAAATGGGTTAAAAGAGTATAATTCTAAAATGATATTTAAACGGAATATTTATTAATATATCGATATTTTGTAAGGCTCTTTAATACATTAATATAATACACTATAATATAGATAAAATATTTTTTTTAATTCATATATCTATTTATTTTAAAGGCTTACTTTAACCCCATAAACCATACTAAAACGTTATAATAAAACCATGCCCTCAAGGGTTAAGAAAGTGCAAATTACAAGGCAACCTCAGGGCTGCCAGGGGCACAGAGACGTAGGAAAGTGAGCTTGCAAAAGGGGGGACACAAGCAGCGACCAGGCCCGTTCAGACAGTGACAGGGAAGCAAAAAGAAGGGGTGAGACTCGAAACCAAGACCGGAGCAGAGAGACCCATGCATTCCTAATCTTGTTCGCTGAATTCGTAATCTCATTAAATTTACATATTAATCAAGGGATTTTAATTACTCTTACACCGCATTGCCAATGCCAGTGCCAATGGAAGAGCCAAATGGCACTGGAAGTGGCCGAAAAGGAGGCACTGGAAATGAGCCAGGCCAAATCGAACTTCCTGAAGTGAGGCATAAGCAGGCAGTTCATGAAATTGCTACGACTAAGACAAAGACACAGTGAGAAATATTTATTTTGCCTATAAAATATAATATAAAATTTCAAACAACGCAATCTGATATTAATTGCAGTACTAATTACACCATTTATTGTAGGCTAAGCTATTTCCCAATTCTAAATTGCATTTTAATTACCTTAAAATCGATATATAATAAGCTAGACAAATTACCTCTACATCAGTTTCTTTTCCACTGTTCAATATGTTGAAGCTATTTGTAATATTTTACCTTTTCAATATAGTAAAACATAAAAATTTTATAAAATATATATTTTAATAATTATAACGATCGTTTTATAGGTCTCTGCTAAACTGGAGTTCACAAACATCAATTGCACTGCTGTGGATAAAGACTTTTGTAATTTTGAATATTGCTATTTAAAATCGGTGAATCGGAGCTACAAATATATGTCACTTAAAGTTAATTTATATAAAGTTCCCATTAACAGTATAAAGGTAAGAATTACACTGATTTGATTCAATTTAAGGTGATTAATTAATTTATTTTAGGTAAATCTAACCCCATTAGTGAGATTAAGTGGCTATAAACCCTTTTTATACAATGTGACTGTGGATGGTTGCAAATTCCTAAAATATCCAAAATCAAATCCAGTCTTCTCATATTTATTTGATCTATTTGGGAGCTTCAGCAATTTAAATCACTCATGTCCCTACAACGTAAGTTTATTTAGTAATTTTAAATATTTATTAATATAATGTTCTTTTCTGTGTTATGATTTAACAGCACGATGTAATTGTGGAAAAATTGACAACTCAATTTGTAAATAATCATCTCACTGCTGTACTTCCTGTTCCCGAAGGTGATTACGCCTTTCATACAGCCTGGTTTGCCAACAATATACTTCGTGCTACGGTTACTGTTTTTGGCACTCTTTCCTAATATATTAATATAATAATAAATAAATAGATATAATAATATGTATATGCAATATAAATTATATTTGAATAACAAAATGTAGATGATACATTTTACAAGGCTTTGTTTTTGGAAGTTATAAAACTTTATTTATTGAATATTCTTACTAATTTTCTCCCCTTTTTTCTGCCAGTGTAAATCACTGAGCTGAGGTGGGGAAGGATCCAGCAAAAGAGGGGACTACCAGAATCAGAGACTGCTGTGGTCGACGCTGTCGTCGTTGTCTTGGCGTGTGGACCCTCATAATTTAATTGGACTTTGTGTGGCGCATTGGCGATGGCTCGATGTGGCGGTAGTTTGGGCCATGGCTAAGACAGCCACTCGATACCAAGTTGTCCTCCCGTCCCCTCCATCCTGCCTCCTTGGCAGAAAGGATTACACGAATTTGCGTGTCAGGCGTCAATGTAAAATCGCAATAAATGAAACTAAATTACAAACTAAAATGCAAAATGAGCAGGAGAGTCAGCCACAAACCAAACCCCCATCTACTTCTCCCATTTTGAGGGTGTGCGGGTGTCTCTGGATACACAGAGAAAGAAAAAGTATTTTATATACAAATATTAATATCATTTATTTATCTTTCATATAATTTAGGAATTATTGAGCCACATTCAAGGAACTATTCCGGTTTGAACTTTAACTAACTTGAAAAGTCAATCAATTTGTATCGAACTTATGTTGCTTGTTATTTACAAATTTTCCTATTATTTTTCTCAGTGTTTTTTGCCCCGCTTTATCTACAAATGTCGCTGTGCGTGTTTTCCAGCTGGTTGTGCTTTCTGGTCTCTGTTTGTAATATGCATAATGTTTTGCCTGAATTCTATCTGAGATATGTGGGTATTCCGGGAAGATACGGGTGGCAGAGAGGTTCTGGCCAATGCCGGGACATGTGTGTAGGAGTCTTGTGCATACTTTTCTCTGTCCTGTCAAATCAAGCGTGTGTGTATATAGACACATCCCGATGTCAAGACCATTAAAATCTCGCTTCGCTCATACTCGTAATTCGCCAGCAAATAGGGAATGAGTCTCTGCCGCGGATCCTCCGAAGCTCTTCAATCATTATGCGAGGAGCTCGAGGGGGGCACCGAAATTTATGGCATTTATAATGACTACTTTGTGGCCATGTTGCAGCAGACACAGTTTTAAGGCTTCATAAATTATAAAAAATAATTATAATGAGATCAATTTTTAATCGCCAGCCCAAGGATCGAATGGGGGCTAGCAGCAGCAGGAGCAGCAGCAGGCCAAGAAGTCGACTTCCTGGCCAGATGGACATGGCAGAGGGAGAGAGAGAGAGCCAGCAAACGTTGAAGGTGTAATTATTATCATATCCTGCATCGCATAAACAACCATCCCAAGTGGAGGAAGAACGGCCAGCAAACCAACTGCCGAAGCGAACTGGCAAACATGAAATACAACACTCGGGCCTAAACACGCAGCAACCAGGCAACAACTTGGCCTCATCATCAGCGGGTCTCTGCGGATCCTCGGCCCAGAAGAACCTGGAACCCTGAGCAAACACACCAGGCCAGGCCAGGCCAGGCGAGCACTTTGGTGCAAACATTTAGAGTAGCAACTCGTAAAACTTCAATTTAAGACACGTAATTTGCAATTCACTCGAGTGCAGATTAGAAGCGGCATGTCCACCGTCGCAGGAGGGATTCCGGATTGGGGTCTAAGCAATGGGAGCCAAGGTTGGGAGTGGCCAACTGGCCACGCAGTTCCTCCTGATGATGATGATGATGATGATGGTGATGATGCTGGTGGAAGCTGTGACTCTCAGGTTGGCTACACAGCATAAAATAGGAGAGGTAAGCTAAGAAACTATTAAATATTTAAACTACTATTTATTTTTCATGGAAATAAATGTATTTAAAATTGTTAAAAAATAATTTTTAGGATTTTTAAATAATTTTTTTTATTTACAATATATTTTTCTTACAATTAAAAGTAAATTTGTCCTGTGTATTTGAATTTACAGTCAGAGGTTTGGCAGCTAGCATGTTAGCCTCCTTTGCCTGGTGAATCTTGCAATGATCAGCATGTACGCGTACTTAGCAGGCTGGTTAGATCAATTATAGAAGTGGAAGACTTATTAAACGAGACTTTTATAAATGACTAAAAATATATATACAAGCACCCCATCGATTGGTTTGATTGGAAAGCTAAGAATAGCAATTTTAGAATATATAAATCTTGTAAAATTAAAAGGTTTCTTTAATAAAATGTGTTTGAAATTGCTTACTTAGGTGGTTAAGTTGTTAATCTCACAAAAACTATGATAAATTACCTATATACAATAATAATGACTCCTTCACAACGTTTCAAGCTTGTGACAGAAATTAGAACACATTTGGAAGGGTATAAAAATGTAATAAATAAATACAATACTAAGGTCTTAAAACTTCATTCTTATAAGAAGTCTCTTTAATTTATATAGAAATATTGGCATACATTTCCTAATTTAACATACTTTTAATGCTTAATATCCTTACGATTCCCTTCTTAATATGATAATTTAAGTACTTCCTTATAAAAACATTTATTGATATTTTGTAGTGATTCCCCCTCAATTTTTGCTCATCTTCCAGGGATTTTTGGGCGGCCTCCTCTTCCGCCTTAATCCTTGAACCCATAAAACCCAAGCTCATTGCCGGCTCTCTGCCAGTTGGCTAACTCATCTGACTTGGCCAACTTGGACAACTAACTTGACCAGCAGCAGCAGCAGTATATTAACAATAACAACAACAACACAAGCAGCAGCAGGCAAAACAGGCCGCGATTTTAATCGACTTTAATCAAAGAAATTTCATATGTGACCACGCCCACATGCAATTATGTTTAAGAATGCAAAACGATTTCGCCAAAGGAGGCGGCGAGGAAGCGAGAAAATTAAAACTGGCAAAAATAAATAAAAAGAAGAGGATGCGAGGATGGCAACAGGAGGCGAACTTCAGCGAAAGGCTACAAGGCAGAAAACATAAATTTAACAGCAAAAAGAAATATTATTATGAATGCATTAACCACCCGAGCAGAAGACCAAGAAGCAGCAGCCAGCTAAGCGAGGCTCTGCCTAATTATAAAGTCGTGAGACTGGGCAGGAACAGGTTACCTTCGAGATCCCGACATCGACAAGATCCCAGAGCTGAGATCCCATCCGAGGCTAAGCTCAACCGACTCGCCCCATGAATGAACTTCGAATGAATGGAAGAGATTCGAAAAGAAGGGAACCCAAAAAAGGCTGCCACAGAAGATTATGCAAAACTCTAAATTCCGTCCGGCTAATCATTAAAATTATATGTATGCGTATAGACAAGAGTCACATAAATCTTTTATTGATTTATGCCGGCTGGAAATGCACTTTTAATTGGCTGCCTTTCGATTCACTCTCATAATTAGAGCTAATTTTAAGGGAATCGCATTCTCTGGCTCGTTGGCATAAATCACCCAAAAAGGAAGTGAGTCATAAAAGTGGGCTGGCCTAGTACTCTAGGGTTGCTCAATGTCCCGCATCTAAAGACCAGAGTTGACAAGGAGACAAGAGAGAGAAGAGCCACTCAGCTCGGAAGGTGGTGCGTTCAATTAAAAAATACTTTACGATATTACAAAATTACCACGTCCCCGATGGGCGGTGGCAAGGGCAGGCTACATACTACTACTATGCTCAGGCTCCTATGGCTCCTCTTCTGCGGAAAGGCAACAAATCGAACCCAACCCAATGCAATGCGAGGCAGTCTTGAAGATCGAGAGCCTCTGCCACAAAGGGGACGCATGCGCATAATTCGAATGGCATTAAGTACGCCACTTGAGGCACAAACGGTGAGTGGAATGTCTGGGAGACAGTGGAGAGAACTTTGGTTTTTTAAGAATTATATGTATTTTACATAATTCGAAACAAAATAATTTAGTTTTTAAAAATAATTATATTGCCACATAGTTATATAAACAGTGCACAAGAAACGATTATAGAAATTGATGAAACGCTAGATCATCATTTAGTGTAAATAACTTGGAACTTTGAAGCAAAGGAAAATTAAACTATGAAATATTTCCTGTCAAGATAATTATTTAATTAAATTTCATATAATAAAAAATCACTGTTTCAAGTTTTGAAATAATTTTCTGGTTATTCAAATCGCTTTCATTCCACTGTCTTCTCCTCGAGAGGCTTCCGTGTTGCCTTTGGGCGATGCTTAATGTAGTTTCTGTTACAGTTTCTTCTCTTGCTGTTGAGGTTTTCGTTATTGTTTTTGAGTCTACAAAAAAAAGAGGACAAAAAAAGCAATAATAAAAATTCAATAATATTAAATTTTTATGGGCGCGAAATTATTAAAGCCTGGACATAGTTTTGTGGACAAGTTTGGTAAGGAATGTTGTCCCGGAGTTGGGGGCTTATATGGTCCAAGGTTTGAGTACAATAACAATTAGTTTTAGAGTCTTGGAAGTCTTTCATTTGTCAGTTAGCACCTTCCGCATTCGCACACCCATCTGCTGTTGTTTCTGTCTCATCAGATGCACATCTATCTTGCTCTAACTTGGTTTGGATCTAGGGTTTACAGTGCAAGAAAAGAGATAATTTTAGGGTGATTCATGAGTTATGATATAATTATTATTAGAAAAATATTTATTTAATATAATATTTAATTAAAATTTTTCTTTTTAAAATAATGTTTATAATTTAATTCTTTTTATTATCAACAAACCATTAAGGGTATTATTAAAGTATATAAAAATATTCTCTCTTGTTTCTCTCCGTTCTCCTCTCTCCGCTCTGGTGATTAAACTTCAACTAATTTGGTTCGCTCCCAAGGAAACCGGTCGTGAAGTCTTGGCCAAGTCCAAGTGCCGCCGCCTCCTCGGCTCCTCGTTCCCCCTTTGGCTAAGCGAATGAATTATGTTATTTGAAATTAGTTTGTGCCAGGCTTTCAAAACTCCTCCAAGTCCAGATACACACACACACACAC